TATTGGGTCTGTGAAGACAACAGATTCTCATAAAATAAAGATATATTAGTTATAATCGATTGTGTGTTTGTGGCCAGGGGCGCATATGCATCAAACGGATGTTGCCTTGCCAAAATCAAGCGCGATTGAACAGGTGGCGGATGTCTGACAAAAAAAGAGGCTGTCATTTGATCCCCTCGAACGAGCCAACCCACATGATTATTACGTGTCACAGTCCTCATTGCTGGTTGGACCTGAAACGTCCAATGTTGTTGTAAGTAATCCATCCGATTCATAAAGACTCTCTCATCAATGCAGGAACTTGATGCAATGTGCATAAGGTCCTACATCTCATCATTGATTTGCTGGAGTGCAGTGCGGTTAGTGACCAATATCATTCGTTTAATTAACATACCCAGCTGCAACACAATAGATGGAGCCTCCCCCTAGGTGCTAACAGTGTCTTCTCTTATTAGCACTGTTATCACTAAAGGGGGAGTGCTTTTTAATTAAAAAAAAAAAAAAAAAAAACGTTGTCCCTCAATATACCAGTCAATCAAAGAAGAAAACAGATATTTGGAAGCACGCCACTTTGGCCAAAACTCATACAGGAATTGAGTAAACTTTTTTTTTTTTTTTTTTTTTTTTTTAAGAAAAATGGGCCCAATTGCCCAAGGCTGATATTATCAATATGAAGATTGAGGTCGGGGTCCTCACATTCTACCCGGAGTGGCCGCAACGAAAAATTGTTGAGAACCGGGCTCAGCGTCCCTTTTCTTTGAGAAAACTGACCATTATCTGTCTCTCCTCTAAGAATAGAGAAAAGCATCACCTCTTCATCCTTCTTTCAGGATGCCAGAATGACCTGTTAAAGTTAGCAATGCTTTACTCTATAATCCTCATACCAAGAGATAGGAACAAGGGCTGATGCAGGGGGAGGGAAAGGATCTGGGAATTCTACTAGTGGTCGCAAAGGTATTGAGTAATCAACAGTAGTCCAATCTTCAAATATCACTTTGTAGTCTCTGTTGAATACTGCATTATCATCCTCCCTTGCCCCATTCCATATGACATTCCCAATTCGCCCTCCCTGGTTTCCGCCCAGCCATTTACGACTGAATTTTCGAAAATGAATTTGAATTTATGATTTGTCTGAGAGAAAATAAACTTTTTCCTTTACTTGAGCCCATTTCGTTAAGATGTCTGTTTGAATTTGCTGTTTGATAGTCTCTATGAAGTCTAGCTCATCTAACCTAGCACCTTCCCATTCATATGTGCACCTCCTCATCCAAATAGCTCACATTACCGCTCTTCTCCCAATACAAAATAGATTTTCCACAAATTTTTCATTGTTCTCCACTACTTCTATATCAGGGGACCATGTCTCTAGGAGGATCTCTTTCCACCCCCATGGCCAGGGGGCCTGTGGGACTATTTGTGACCATATACGGTCCCACCACCTCCATATCCAGATTGAACCCGGACAATGCATAAAGATATGCTTCATAGTTTCAGGAATTGTTTTACTCGGGAAGGCTGATCTGCAAAACTTACACCATCTTGATGCTAGTCCTCTCTGTTCTAAGGAGGATCTGTCAATGAGCCAATCATTGGTTGGGAGACACCTATGTTCAATTTGCCATTGTAGGGAAGCTATTTTGGCAGGTTTGTCCTTGGCTGTTTTAAACCATCTAACTGACCTCAGTTCTTCCTTACTTATATTTAGGTGTTTCATCCACCTAGTAATAACCTTGTCTTTCAGATTGATTCTTGGGCGTAGCATTTGATAGGCTGATTTGACTTTAAGTGAGTAGATGACCCTCTTGAATGATCTATTATGTTTTCCTACCGTTGTATATGTACTCTGTACCCAATTGCCCGGGTCAAGAGGAAGCGAAGAGATATGACACTTTGGTTTAAAGGCTACCCAAGAATCTTTACTTTTGATTACCCTTATCCTGAAAATCTGTTGAGCCTGGACCCATCGGGTTTCCCCTTGCCCCATCTGAAGAACAACGTTGGTAGAAGATAGAGAAAAAAATTGTAAAAGAACGCTTCCATTTTGGGCTTGCTCAATAATTCTGCCAATCAGCTGGGAGTGTGACTTGAGTGCTACCCAGTCATCCATCATTAGTTTGGGACCTTTTCTAAGTATACGAATCCATTCAAGTGGAATAAGATCTATAATCTTTTCTAGGGCTTCCATCGAATGGTGACAGTATCTTAGTCTCCCATTTAGTTTAGATGGATCAATCCAATCATTTGTTTCCTTATTCCATATATCTTTTATCCTCATAATACCATTATTAATCCATCCTTTCCAGGGCGAGTGCATACAGTGGAGAACATACCCCTGGGAGTATTTAATCCATCTATTGTCGAATAGAGGCTGTTGACACACTTCCTCCAAATCTTTAGCATAGTAACAAAAAATGGGTCATTCTTCAAGTCTTGCCTGACCGTCTGCCTACTTGAACCTGCCGATGTTACTGTATTGTACTTCCCTCTTGGAATAGTCAAAGATCTATTTTCCAACCATGTCAAAGGGTCAACCCTCTCAGTCATAGGGGGTGCTAAGCGCTTAATTTGTTCCAAGGCCAAAGGTGTCCATGGAGTCTGGGGATTGAATAACAAGCGTTGAAACCACTGGATAGAAAGTGCTTTAGTCTGGATGAGAGGGTCAAGAATCCCCGATCCTCCTCTTGCTTTTGGTTGAATAATAGATTGTCATGCTACCCTATTGATAACACTGTTATACTCATGATTGTCTCTCCATAAAAAGGTTATTTGCTGACGCTGAAGAGTTTTAAGGGAATCTCTATCCATAGCCCAAATCCCAGACTTATACCACATAGATGCCAGGATTACATTGTTAATAATCATCGATTGCCCAAAAACAGAAGTACGTTTATTCTTCCACAATTCCATTTTAGACTGAGCGGGTTGGGAGATCCATTCGTTATGATTCTTTGGTTTACCTTCAGCTGATAAAGAAATCCCAAGCACCCTGATAGGAGTATCCAGTGGTAACCACTTTATCTTTGGTAATTCTGGAGGTCTCCCACCTTAGTGATGTATCCACCAACCCGTTCTTTTACTACCCCAATTGACTTTCATATCTGATAGGCGACAAAATTTGTCCATCAAATTCTGAATCTCTTCCATATTTTCATTAGTAGCATAAACCATAAGTGAAAGGTCATCAGCAAATAGAGAGCAAACTGGAACGACATCTTCTGGAATGCTCGTGATCTGTATGCGACGAATATCTTTGTGATGTCTCAAATTTGCCGCTAGTGCTTCAATAATAATGACAAAGAGAAAATGTGCCAATGGGTCGCCTTGTTGCACTGATCTTTCTAGTGGGATGGGTGGGGCCACATTGTTATTGACCATCACCCTTGTGGTGACGTTTTGATGCAAGACTCTCACCCATCTTCTAAAATTTAAACCAAAATTCATCTTTTCCAAACACTTGTCTAAAAAAATTCAGTCTACATGGTTTGTGTTACCGCGCGTTCATTGAAAGCGCGTTCTGCTTTCAGTTTATGAACGCGGTGAACACGCGTTCAATGAACGGCCCTGAACGCGTTTGACGTGTTTGCGCAGGGGGGGCTGAAGGGGCAATGAGGGCTGGGGAGGACCCGGGAGGTGCCTGCGAGGGCACTGGGTCGTCAGGGGAGCCTGTGGGGTCCAGTTGGGACTCGGGAATGTCGTCGAGGGGGAAAAAAAAAAAAAAAAAAAAAAAAAAAA